CCTAATTGTCCATTCGATAGGGGATGATAGGATGGAGAACATGGATGCGTTGTTCCATTTGTACTACAAAAATACTTAAATGATTCTGCAATGAATTGTGAGCCGTTATTAGTCACTAAGGTCTCTGGGACTCCAAAGCAACTAAACAAAGTAGATAAATTGTTATAACAGTCTAAAAGCATAAGACGCACTAGATTCTAATCGATAGTCTGTGGATAGCTGGTCTGTTAGTTAAACAGCCCCAATTAAGGTATGAAGTTAAAATGTTTGATTAGTAATTTTTTTCAGTAGTTTACTTCGCGGACTGATGCTAAGAAACTGAAACCAGGAAGGACTGGACAGTTGTTTCGTTTTGATACGAAACCCCTAACGGAACGCACCTGAAACCCCACAGGCGATCGAACCCAGTATATAGGAAACAATCATTGCTTTCTTCGTACTATTTAAACTCGTGTTGATTTAATTCGGTTATTTATTTACTCTGAAGAAGTGGCTTACATTAAGTCTCGAAACATCAGAAATACAGTGTTTCTACTCATTGGGATGTAAAGTAAAAATATGTTTCTTATTGGCTATTTACCCAACGTTGCTTAACTAGGGTAGAGACGTGCCATCAGTGCTTGAAATCACTAACTTCCAGTCTCAGCCATCTTGATAGATACAGACTACTTGGTTAGGGTCCGCGTAACTATCGTTACAAATGGTTGGAGACTGGGTGATATGGCTCAGAATCGACCACAACGGCGTCGGTGTATACACTCTCTGTCTTCGCTTAAACCATGAGGTTGAAACACTTTATACCTTTCTAAGAACCAATTCTCTCTCTCTTGATGCACTATCTTTCGTTTATATATTACACCATTGAGTTAACTGCTCCTACGAATCCGGTGTTAGTCTTGCTGTGCAAATAAGGTATGGCAACTTGGACCAATTCATATATGTGCCTAGTCCTACGTTGTAACTAACTTTCTACCCAATACTCAATTTATTTGTAGGATATAATTGTTTGAAGAATATTCCTTATCCTGAATTCTGTTCTTTTATTTTAATAACCATAAAATATGGAAGATAATGGATATGTTTAATACTTGCCAAATATTTATAACTATTTATAGAAGTATTTTACTAATAGAACAATCATATATCAATTACAATTAAATTGTTTAACTTTCAGTTGATCTTTAATTGGCATATATTTCTATTTGATATGTATTTAATGAACTTAAGCATGAACGATATAAATGTAAAAGTAATTTAATGAAGTTTATAAATGTGAAATTTTTTTTTAGTTTTAAACAGAAATATGTATCTATGGTAAATTGGATTACTGAAAATAAAAGTTGACGCATAAAAAAATGTAGATTACAATTTTATCATTATCAATAACTAAACTAATAAATCGATTCTTAATTGACAGATAAAACTAAAAGAAAAAAAATCAATATTTTGTGGTCTTATAATACACAGAGTGACTATGAATATAGTATACATCCTAATAAAAGTTGTAAATTGGGGCCAATGGATACCGATTCAGTGACTTATAGGTGAAAACATGTGGGTCCTGGGTTCGATCCCTGACAAAGTCGTGAATGCTCTCTATTCAAGAATCCCATTCTATCACGATACAGCAGCCTGGTGCTCTCTGATTTTTTAAAGGTACTGTTATTGTTGTTAGTTCATAATGAATAATACCTAAAGTTATAAACTCCTTATGAAAATTATCATGAAGTGTTTCTCCAGTATATAACATTTAGTGATTAACTAATGTAAATATACCAGCCCTATAGGAGATTATTTGGTCTCTGAATAACACAAGGGTAACTTTTCAAACTATGAAGATCGGTGACACAGATCCAGTTTTAACAGTGAACATCTGTTGTCTGAAGATTTAGGTGTCCTTTGTTAACAAGTACCAACTAGTACATAACATAAGTTAAGCAAAGTTTATCACAGAGAGAGTCCAACTCCAACTAATAAAAATTCATTTTTCTGAACCTAAAAAATGTTAAATAAATATACCAATAATAGACTTTTCATTCGTTACATAGAAAAAACATGAGTTATAAACACAAACAATACAAATGGTTATATTTTTTACACATCTGGACAAATTCCACTTATCAATGAGTGAAATGCAGACTACTTTTATTTATTAAAACTTTTTATTGATTAGTCGTACTTGTTACTTACGCCCGTTATCCCCTTTGGAAGAGTATAGGCCACCCACCACCACTCTATATTCAACCATGTCCTGGGGATTCCTTTCGAGTTCATTACAGCTGTTATTTATCCTTTTCATATTTGCTTCTATTTACCGAAACTCCGCCTGTAGCTCTCCTAAAGTTACTGCCAGTCCAAAGCCCGAGTAAGGTAGGAGGGTTGCGTATGGGGTTAGCGACCCATCCCGTAGAAAACTAACTCGCCAAAAAAACGCTAACCAGAAAAAATAATTTAAACACTGCTCTGGGAATTGAAGGAAGAATGATGGCGCCTCAGGATGAAGGCCTAAATTTTTCGGAAGTTACAAGGTCGATGCCTCTTCTAACAAACAGAACAACAATTTCCATGGGTAAATGGAACGTCCGGACAATGTGGGAGACTAGGAAGACAAGTCAAATGGCAACAGAAATGAGGCGATACAAATTGGCAGTACTGAGAATCAGAGAAACCCATTGGACCCAAGCTGGACAACAAAGGATAAATACGGAAGAGATGCTGCTATACTCCGGCCACGAAGAGGAAAATGCTCCACACACTCAGGGAGTTGCTCTAATGCTGTCCAAAGTAGCACGAAATGCACTTGTAGGATGGGGATCTCACGAATCCAGAATCAAAGCAAAGGAGGGAATTACAATGAATGTTATCCGATGTTATGCGCCCATCAATGATAACAATGAATAAAATAAAGATCAGTTCTACGATAGGTTGCAATCAATCATAACGAAGTGCTCAAGAAATGACCTCACCATTCTGATGGGAGACCTAAATGCCAAAGTCGGAATAGACAACACCGGATATGAAGATATCATGGGGCGACATGCAGAGGGAGAGAGAAACGAAATGTGGAAAGATCTTCAAATCTGTGTGTGTTCGACAAATTGGTTATAGGCGGCACAATATTCCCACACAAACGCATACACACAGCTACATGGGTCTAACTGGATCAGACCACAGAGAACCAGATAGATCATATTTGCTTTGTCTCGCCCTTTCTCTTTCTTCTGGTGGTCGACTGGATTATGAAGATCTCCACATATGGAGAAAAGCACGAGATACAATGGAACTAGAAGATTTGAACTTCGGAGATCGCCTAGCCCTCCTATCCCATACACATTAACAAATGCAGATGAAGACAGCTAGCGTAGCAGAAGCCTATGCATCAGTGGGCCTCAACATACACAAAGGAAAAAGTAAGAACCCCAAATATAACACGGAGAACACCTGCCCAATCACACGTGAAGGAGAAGCTCTGGAAGAGGTGGAATGCTTCACGTACCTGGGAAGTACGATCGATGAACAAGGAGGTTCAGATGCAGACGTAAAGGCGAAGATTGACAAAGCAAGGGCCGCATTCCTACAATTGAAGAACATATGGAACTCAAAACAACTTTCAACCAATATCAAAGTCAGAATCTTCAATACGAACGTCAAGACGGTCAGTTCTATTGTACGGAGCTGAAACCATCATCAGGAAGGTACGAGTACTTATAAATAGTTGTTTACGCAAGATACTCAATCTCCATTGGCCGGATACCATCAGCAACAGCCTTCTGTTGGAGATAACAAACCAGCTTCCAGCTGAAGAGGAAATTATTGAAAGACGATGGAAATAGATAGAATATACATTGCGCAAATCACCAAACTGCATCACGAGGCAAGCCCTGACTTGGAATCCTAAAGGGAAGCGATTCTATTTCCCGACGTAATGTGTTCTTTGGCCTCTCTCTTTTCCGCTTCGCTTTAGGATTTCATATATCTATAAAAATTGTCGCTCTGGTTGTTAGAACGGGCATCGGCCTCGTGACTTCCGAAGAATTTAGGCTTTCATCCTGAGGCGTCATAAGTTTTCCTTCAACTCCTGGAGCAGAGTTTAATTAGTTTAATTTTTTTAATCTGGTTGGCGTTTTTTGGCACGATTTTTTTCTACGGGATGGGGATGCCCCTCCCCCATACCCAACTCTCATCTTTTGTGTGAGCTTTGGACCGGTAGTAACTTTAGGAGAGTGTTATGACCTTGGATGTCTTGTTTTGCTACCACGCGACCTATCGACCAATCCGGATACGACTTATACGGATCTTTACACTAGGCCAACCAATGACGTTCAACCGGTGGGGGCAGTCTAGCGTCCTTACTGGTCCTATGTCCTCCGAGCCCTTCCACTTGAGTCCAGAACACAATACCAGCTTCGAGTCAGAGCAGATCGTTTATTTCAAACATACTCGGTTTATATATCAACCAGACAGACCACAACGCACCATAAATTAGAAAATAACATGTGTACACAAATAAGCCAAAAAGTGGCTGTGCACGAGGGGGACAGTGAATAATAGACTGAGCATAGATTAAGAACCGTAAATCGTACAATAATAAATTATAGGTCAAAATAAAGCTTATAATAAGAGGAATATAAATATACGTAATGTAATTGTTGAATAATTATACAATAAGAATATTTATAGAATATTAGTCCATTAATAGTCCTCGGGAGTTACCTGTAATTTAATCTCCACTCGGATATAACAGAGAGCTACAGGCGGAGTTTGATTAGTCATACTTTATAATTAATTTTACCTAATAGTTAACTTTATCAAAAAATTTAGGTCATAAGTTTAATCTTTTCACAATTACTTAATAACTTATCATTTTATTTTTTCTCTGAAAATTCAATATAATAATATTGAAAATAAAACTTTGTCTAAGTGCATTGTTTTTGACATTTTTATTGGTTTATCAATGTCTGATAAGCTTAAATAAATTTGGTTCAAGTTAACATATAAATGTGATAACCTCATAAAAGGTTAAATTATTCTTGTTGAATACCATGATTATTAGATTGTCATTTGTTCGTTTAGTATTACTAATATGTTTTGTAGATTTTCTAATATGTATGCCAAATAATAAGATAAATTTTACTGGTAGTGCAACAACAACTACTACTACAACTACCACAGGTACTACTAGAACTGTCACTACTACTGAGCCTATAACAACTACAACTTCTAAACCAACTACAACTCATGGTGTAATTACAACAACAAATGGAGAAACCACTGAAACATCACTGATAGTAACAACTAATGGTTCTTTGAGCAGTAACATAACTAACTCATCAACAACTTTGCTGAATTCTATAAACACTTCCTCACTACATTTCGATAATTCATCCTTAAATGTAAGAGAAGAGAGTAATTTATCGAATGGGACAATAAATACTACTGAGTTCATGCAAAGTACAGCTTTGCCAACAACTACAAACAATGACATAAATGGAACAACTATCGGATATTCCAGAACAACTTTATCGCCACCAATAGAAAAACATGCTAATAACTTAACTAATACTACTAATCCTTCAACTAATTCATCTCGACGACACTCTATAAAAGGAAGAGTTATTTTAGCTACGACACGTGAACAAGGTAGTAGAGTATGGGGATTAACTGCAGCAAAAGCTGAATTGGCTTGTCATAGATTTATAACTAATCGTAGAATTACGTCAGCATTAACCAATCAAACAAATAATGGAAATGTTAAACCAACTGATTTATATCAAGGTCATTTATTATCTGTTACATCAAATGATGAGGTAAGTGTTGACTATTTTTTTAAATACATGTCATATGAGCGTATGATAGCTTATAATCCATGAAGTTTTCATTGATTACTGTGCTTTATTTCAATTTAGCTTGAAAAAACAATAAACAGCTGTTGAACATGCAAGTTTCTTTATTCATTTTTCAAGCAGTTAGAAAGAAAATGTAATTACAAAGGGAAGTTCGGCAAGACTATAATTTATGGACGGACCAATCAGGTATAAGATAACAGGTCTTGGATTTTGGCGCGAAATTCATTCAGTCCATTTGGCTAAATAGGGTTTTGGCATTATAGCTGATGCCAGTTCGTGATGAAAGCCATAACTTTATTTCCTAACCTTAGCCATCAACTGTCAATCATAATTCGAATTCCTCACACTAATTTATAACCCTCATTTGGTACTAGTTATCAGGTAGACACTCTCATGGTCAGTCTAACGTCGTTCAAAGGTCGTCCATAAATTATAGTCTCACCGGAAATTCTCTTCAAAATGAATTAAATTACATATCTGTTTATTATATTGTTTTGTATTAAGAATCTGCTTGGTGTGACATTTATAAAGTAAGCACAATTGTTGAACATGAAAAAGATAACACTCTTCTAAAAATGATAAAGAAATCGAAGTTTAGTGTAGTTGAGACACAAATTTTTTAGATCCATACAACTGGAAAGTATTTACACAAAAACTTAACTAGATATGATCTCCGTTATAAGCCAACACTAGGTGGAAAACCACTAAAAATCAAGAAGTTCAAAACTCCTCATAAGTGAAAATCTATGATATTACACCGGTAAGGATCTAGGAGGCTCAAGGTTTAATATATGTAGAATGATAATATAGAATACCATGAAGAAAAGGATATCATTATTTTTAATATCAGTGGTGATTAAAATTTTTTTAATTTGAAGATGATGTATACTATGAACCAAATTCAATTAGACTAACATCTGGTAAGTGGATCCACTTTACTATGTCAAGTACTATGCCAATCAACTGTTTACTGCTCATTAGATTTCGGTGATCACCTGGTTATAGTTAGTTCAAAAAAGACTGTTTCACTCGCCAAAACGTTTAAGATAAGTTGTAGCCCTTATTGCAAGTATGTCCTGTTTTTGTCGGTATTCTTAGTCACGTCCGACTTTCATTGTAAATTTGATTGGTTGACATCTGTATTTTACACAATAAGGTTTTAGGGAACTCTATTATTTTGATCATACATCAAATTAAGTTTGCAAATTATTTGGAAAGAAAGAGTATGAAATCAACAACGTTTCTATATAACAACCCATTTTAAAATCGAACTAAAAATCAAACAATCTCGTGGCTGTATTACATATTCATTTCGTAAACACTGCATTTCATCAGTGTAGACCAAAGTTTTTAATGAGAGTCTATAATGAAATACATATATATACATATATTTTCTTTTTTCACAATCAGTACTGCTTAATATTACCGCTTATCATAAATATATATCTAACATACAATTTTAATAACTGTTAGTCATATAATGTAACTAGTTGTTCTGTTTTTATGAGTTGTGACACATTTCATTTGATTAAGCATTGTTTTATTAGGCATTCTTATTGGTTGTCTTGTTAAAAACTCATCCTAATTCGGAACTCATCAGTATTGTTATACGATGACAAAATTAGTTAGTTGAAATTATTTTCGTGACTAATTTGCTACCCTTCGTTAATACGTAAATGTAAAAATGTGACGTTTGGTTTGCTGATTAAAAACTGCTATCAATAACAGTGATAATAATTTCATATTGTTACAAACTGATTGAAGTTTTAACCCATCAACTATTAGATTCTAAGCAAAGATGGATGGTAGGTAGTAGTGGAATCCAGGACGCGCGTTTCGTCCTATTTGGGACTCGTCGGATGGATTTACCTGCATCCTACAGTTGATATTCACTGGGATATTCAATGGGAAGTTCCAAATAAACAATACAAAATGAATTTATTCAGTTCTAACTTCCAAAATGAGAAAAAACACATCCCACAAAACACTCTGGTTCTGTTATCAGTTTTGTCAATTCATCGTACGATAATCAATAAAACCGTCGAAACCAGTTTTTGATGTAGACGTAATTTGGGTGATTTATGAATATGTAGCACAATGGATTTTCGTCTTCACTCAACTGAAAAACTTACGATACCTACACCATACTGTTTTACAACGTTAGATTTTTGATAACTACGCTCAAATCAATAACTGTGGTAACAGGGGGTGATGTTAAAAAAAATGTATCGAATAAATTGCTTCTGGAGGATGCACACTGAGAAAAAAGCTATTGATCAAAAAGCAATTTGTATCGAAAATCTAACACGTGTCTGATTTATTTAAAAAATATATTTTTAATCTGTGCTTTCTGGTTTTCCACGGTGGTCTGGCTTTATTTGACTCATGAATTCAACTATTGAAATTACTACAATCTCCATAAAACCCTTTTTGATAATAATCATCATGTGCTCATTAGTGACCAGTAGAGATCAACCGGGTCTGTTGTGAGATAGTAACTCACTGATGACAATGGTGGACGGTAGCGCGATCTCGTGGATTATTTGAGGTTAGACATTGAAACCGCTGGATGCCAGCCCAGTGGTCTAGAGGTTGAGCGATCGCGTGCGAGTCCGAAGGTTCTGGGTTCGGGCCCCGCGAGCAGGGTCGTGGATGCGCACCGTCGAGGAGTCCCATACCAGGACGAAACAGCCATCCAGTGCTTCCAGGTCTTCCATGGTGGTCTACCTTCAATTGACTCATGATCTCAACTACTGAAATTGATAATATCATCCTTAATGTATTATTTGTAATGTTCACTTTTAGGATAATTTACATCACAAACTGACTCTACATTAATCACTATCGAACTAAACTATGAATGATTAAAGAAGTGTTTTTTTCTAAACTTTTAGTCAATTTGTACTTACGACCCATCTAGAGATAAAAGAAAGAAAATTGTTAAAATAGCCAAAACATTTGCTTTTTAACCGGTTTATTAAAGAATTATTTAACTACCTCATTCAAATTATACAGAGTAGTTTTTCTCTTCATTACATTTTTATCTGTAAAAGGATATCAAATATACTCTAGTATTAGAAAATATTATAGTTTTACTACAGGTGAATACCATACTTTAGATTTGGTTAATTTAAACGAAAAATATGACAATAATTATGTATGCTCTACCTAGACTCCTTACACTAGAATATATATACTGAATAATTTGAATCATTAATAGCATTTCTTTTAAACCTGGATATAATGTAGATGCATCTGAGAAAATATATTGGAAGTGAACTAGCTAATTACACAAATATATATGCATGTTGATAGAATGTAATAAATTTATGTTGTTAGCATAAAAGAAAAATCGATTTCATGGAACTTCTTCTCAATGATGAAGTAAAATATTAATGAATTTGAGAAAATCATATTTTTGGGTGAATTTGTCCAACATTTACATCATTATCAATATAGTGGTTGTGGAGATTGTTAAGTTTTTGATTGAGATCATGAACCGATTGATGTTAGACCACCATTGAAAAGCCGGAATCACTGGACGGCCGCTTTGTCCTACTGTGGGACTCCTCAGTAGTGCGCATCCACGATCCCGCTCGCGGGATTCGAACCCAGGGCCTTCAATCTCGCGCGCGAACGCTTAACCTACTGAACCACTGAGCCGGCATCCAATGATGTTAATGTTTAACTTCAACCAATCCACAAAATTGCGCGACCACAATAGAACGAAACGGCCGTCCAGTGATTCCAGCTTTTCAATGGTGGTCTAACATCAATCGGTTCATGATCTCAATCAAAAGTTACATCAGTATCGTACTTGATTTGTTAAAATTAGTGTTTTACTGTTCTAACGAGATTATTTTAAACTTTTTCATGTGATGACTAAGATATTTATTAAGCTGATTGAAAACCTACACAAAAACTATTTCAAACTCATTATTTGATGTAGATATTATTATGATATTCTTTTCAACTTTTTAATAAACTTTAAGAACTAGATTAGATATATTAGTTTTAAAAGTGAATTTGTCAGAAGAAAGAAAGAACTCTGAATCAGTCTCTTTTATTTTATGTTCCAATGGATATATTCCGTTTACCTATGAAGTTGACAAACAGAATGTGTATTAATGTCAGAAGGGATTTTTGTGGATATTATAGTAATTTTAATAGTTGAAATCATGAGTCAATTGAAGCTAGACCACCCTGAAAAACCGGGAAGCACTGGACGGCCGTTCCATCCTACCACGGGACTCCTCAGTGGCAGTGCGCATCCATGAGCCCGCCTCGCGAGACTCGAAACTAAGACCTACCGGTTTCGTGCACGAGCACTCAACCACTAGACCACTGAACCAGCATCCAACGGTGTTATCGTCTTACTTCAACCCATCCACAAAATCGCGTTACCATCCACCATTGTTTTCCGTGAGTTACTATCTCACAACACACCTGGTTGAACTCCACTAGTCACTGCTTCTCACTAGAACTCCATGAAATACCCTTTGAAACCAGTTACTAGTGAGTATATGTTGATTAATATCAGAAGGGATATTCATTTTTAATCTTTTTTGAATTGATCATCATTATATATTAGTTAATAGATCAGACTATCAATGATAATACTTTCATTACAAATTTGATAAAACTGTTACATTTCTTCTAACCATCGAGTAAGTAACGCAGTTGTTAGGAAACAAGTACTAGGTAAAGATGGCAAACCGATTGATGAAGTGGTGAAACTTCATCAGTTGAGGTGGCTGGGACACATGTTACGTATGCCCAACCACCGACTGCCTCGACGTGCTATGTTTCATGGTACAGGAGTAGGTTGGAAGAAAGCTAGGGGCGGCCAGACCAAAACATGGCACAAATCCATGAAGTCACTGACAAGTGGACTGAGTCATGTTTGTAGGTGTAGACTACCTGGTTGGGGACGGCGAGATGATAGCAACCGATGGTTAGAGACCCTGAATGATATGGCTCAAAATCGTTTTCAGTGGCGCAGGTGCATCCACTCTTTGTGTTCTCCCAAATTCTAATCTTCTGAATTCTTTATGTCCCTTTTTTTCTCTTTCTGGATTTATTTCACTGGATTATACTCCTTGAGTAAAATCTTCAAACCCTAATGTTTACGATTACTGCTTATACTTTTACTACCTCTACTACTATGGGATTTGAATCGACAACTGCATCTGTGTGCTAATGTGGTGTGGCAACTCGAACTGATGTACGTACGTACGAAGTTCTACGTTGTTACTGACTGGCTTGACTGACATCTAGCATAATAATATGCACTCATTTTTTTTTAGGTATTATAACTTATTTAGGATTCTTTTCTAAAGTAATAAGCAGGAAATATTGAATATTGTACAATAAAAGTGTATAATAATATTATATGATGTAATAAATATTCAATTCAATGTTAATATTCATGCACTTTTTCATTCATTCATATTGTCATACGTCACAATATTCACGTTTCAATGATTTTCTTTATATGCACTGACTAGACAATATTTAACCCCTCAGTACAAAAATACAAAAAAAATAAATAAAGTGGTTAAATGTCTGAATGTAATTTGATTAGTTTACAATGTATTAAATAATGAATAAATTGTTTATATAATTGTGAATTGTTGAAATCATTAAATTTATATTTAGATTAGATTATTATAATAGAATTATTTAAATGAACCATTATTTCATTTAGATTTTTCTTATAACTTATCATTTCCTATTTTGTTCGAGTTACATATGTACATAATAAAATAAATATCGATGGATGCCAGTTCAGTGGTCTAGAGGTTAAATGTTCGTGCGCGAGACCAGAGGTCCTGAGTTGGAGTCCTGTGTACGGACGAAACGGCCGTCCAGTGCTTTCAGGTTTTCAATGGTGGTCTAGCTTAGATCGACTTGTGAATTCAACTGTTAAAATACAACAATCTCCACAAATCCCCAATACTGATAATGTGTATAAATTGAGTGACAAAATAACACTAAACAAAATGAGTGTTTGGGTTTTACTAAACCTTGATTATTAATAAATTTTACTGACATTTTTCCTTTGTTATGCGGATTGTTATGAGCATGTGTGCCTACAATTTAGTAGTCACATGGACATTTACGCGATCAAGCGTGTTCTGTAAACGTGATAAAATAAAAAAATATTACACAACCGAATGCATATGGTGACCAATCAAAATAAAGTAAATATGTAAATATAGTATATTATATTCCTTTCATTTAAATATTTAGTACGATTACAATATACTAGGTTTTATTATCTAATATCCTGGTACTAATCCAGTAAGAAACTAGATCTAATGTTTTACCTGAAGTAAATTTAGGAACCCATGATTTGTGTGGAAAGAAAAAGAAACAGTAACCATAAAGGGACATGAGGCATATACTTTAAGGGCTGTTTTATTTCAAGTAACTGAATATCCTTCACTGTGAGAATGGATGGAAATTCTCTGAAGATCAGTACAGAACCTCAAAAATGTCAGTTTTACAGTTCCTAAACTGAAAATCACTAAATATATGATTTAATTGAAAGGAAATTTTTTCGTTCATTTTCTTCTACTTTACCAAGTATAAAGAATGGAATTTTCACCGTTTCATCTTCTCTTGAATAAATTTCTTTCATCAAGACTAATTTAAAAGAAAATAATTGTCAATTATACTAGTTATTATAGCAACGGGAAACTATTGATCTTTTTATTTGAGAATAACTACATTGTAACATTAAAATGAGGGTAGGGAGTAATTATTTCATCTCACAGAGATTCCCTTACTATAATCATAGTACTCATTGAAGAATTAAGGCTATTTTCTTAATTTATGAGTTATAAAAAATCAATACTAAAGAAATCTTTCCGTCATTAACTTGCCCTCGATCTTCTAAAAGTCGACAGTTTATCCAGTGACACTGATCAGTCATAGTTTCATATCCTAGTTAAGCGAACTCCCTGGAAACATCCTTCAGTTTTATTATTATCATTAAAATTTACTGACTGTACTTCAGGTGTAAATTATGTACATCAGATATTATTACCTGAAACTATTTTCACTATACTTATTTTTAAACTCATTAATTTGGATGATAAACAAGTGCTTTATCGGCTATCATTACTGTTAGTGATTCTTTCTAATTCATATTTATCGATTTAAAGTATAAACTATTTAATCGTAAAACTATTTTCCTAAGGAAAAAGTCATCAGAGCGAAGAATTATTACTTTTCAATTAGGTATTCAACAAGGCTCCATACTGAATTATGCGTTTTATAATAATCATGTAAACAATACAAATCAAGTTTTTTTTTCGTAACTTTCAGATTATACACTTAGTAAGCCTCATGGGTACAGTACCAGTTGGATCATATTGGACAGGGGGTAAATTAATGAGACCAAGACATACTGGAGTGGATGGTGAAAATGCTACTAAGTGGAAAGTGATGTTAAACTGGTCGGATGGTCGAACTGCTCCTGCAAAAATATTGGGTATAACTGATGATGATGCAAATAATCTTGTAGAGGGTATTACTTATTGTCTGTCATTAGATATTGCACGACTTACATGGCAAGCTCGTGATTGTGAACATCGTTTGCCTTATGCATGCTTGATTACTAGTCGAGATGTTTTAATTCAAACTACCACTAGTAATTCATCAATAGTAGTTAAGACACCACAAGAAATAAATAGTACACAAATTTCTGCTAATCACAATCATGTTATTTCAAAACGTCGTGAAACGGTGCTCGAAAATTCTACTACAGTTATTAACACTTCAGTAAATACTAATCATTCAGAGAACAGTCAGACGATTTCACCTTTACTGGAGTCCACTAAATCTATCCCAGCAAGCATAACCATAACACCAAATAATACAGAGAATTCAACTCTTGGGATAAATTTTAACGTGTCATCTGAGATTCAGAATACTTCACAGATGGATAGCACAACCCCATCTAGTTCACGTTCTATAGTAACTGAGGATAATAGTTTTAACCAAAATGGAAAGACCGTTTCCGAGTCAACGATCCAACTTAATGAGCAGCGTGTACAATTTACAGAACCCGCCTCTGAAACTAATCAAACTTTCAGTGTTCCTTCTCTTCCTAAAGCTCAGGTATCTATGGATGATAGTGATGGTAATAATGGTACCGGTGACGATGATGATGGTGATGAAGATGATGATAACAGTGATGAAAATGGTAATAACGGTCAATTCCCTTTCAGTTCAAGTGGACTGGGTACAAACGATCTGGAATCCATATTGATGAACATTGAACGTTTACATACAACAACACATCTACCACCGTCAGAAATTCCTACTACTACTGCTACTCCCACAACTACTAGTACTACTACAACTACTATTACTCCCACCGCTATTATTACAACCCCGCTACCACTACTATCGCTACTGCTACTACCAGTTCCAATACTACTACTACTACTATTCTTGATAATACTTCTACCAGTACTACTGCTACTTCCACCACTACTCCTACTGTTACTACTACTCCCACTAATAGTACTACTATTGCTTCCACAACTACTACTAATTCCACCACTACTAATACTGCTATTCATGATAGTACTTCTACCAGTACTACTGCTACTTCTACCGTTACTACCACTCCTACCACCCCTGTTACCTCCACTACTACTACTCCCACTAATAGTACTACTATTGCTTCCACAACTACTACTAATTCCACCACTACTAATACTACTATTCATGATAGTACTTCTACCAGTACTACTGCTACTTCTACCGTTACTACCACTCCTACCACCCCTGTTACCTCCACTATTACTACTCTCACTAATAGTACTACTATTGCTTCCACAACTACTACTAATTTCACCACTACTAATACTACTATTCATGATAATACTTCTACCAGTACTACTGCTAATTCTACCACTACTTCTACTGTTACTACTACTGCCACCACCCCTGTTACCTCTACTATTACTACTGCTACAACAACAAAGACTAATAATAATAATACTATTCCTGCTAATACTACTACGAGCACAACTACTACTCCTACTACTACCATTACTGCTGAAATCACTACTAATACTACTGAAATCAATGAAAAAATATCTACAGAAAATACTAGTGAAGATGTCGAGATGTCGATTGGAACAACATATGCACAAAATACTTCAGATAATAAGTCGTTAAGGTCGCCTGTTTTGTTAAATAATTCCTCTGAAGAAATGACAACCTCTACAACACCTGAAATAAACTCACAAGAATCGACTACGGTAATGATACAAGCAGAGTCTTTGATGACAACGGTATCCAATTCGATAGTAAGTGTTGAAACAACATCAACGCCACTAATTGGATCTGAAAAAACGACGATATCCACATCCGAGTCATCAGAAGCGGGGATCTCATCTGTGTTAACAACACCAGTGTCATTCCAATCAACGGCAACAACTGAGCCGACGATGCCTTCAGGACCTTCACCAACAGAGACATCTACGTCACTAACCACGAAGATTCAGAGTTCATTACCAATGTCCATAAATGAACCATCCCCATCAACAGCATCTATGGAGCTTCAATCAGTGGGGACATCTGAGGCCCTAACATCAACGACATCCCAATCAAATACGTCAGCAGAACCAACTACAACTCTGGAATTAGAGTCAACAGAAAATGTAGACTATGTTATCACAGCCAACGACCTCATATGTATCAATGACAGCAACAGAGTCTACGGTTATGGAAACCATATCCTCTGAAACAGGAACTAGTTAACATAATGAAAGAAAGTAATTTTTGATTGAATTATTTTAAATAATTGAGTAACTATTTAAACGAGTTCAGTTGTAATACTAAGTTACAAAATTTTCGACATTGTATTACAGCTATTTTTCTTATATTTAAAGATAAATGATGTTCTAATAACATTGTTTTTCTCAAACAAAACGTTAAGTTACAATATCTGTTGTAATTCATTACAAGAAGATCCTTATAATTTACAGAAACAGAATTGAATATAAATTCAGGTATAAAATATTTGTAATCGTAGAAGTTAAAAACTACTGATTTTTTGTTGGTTTGTTGACGCCTTCTATACTCATAGTAGGTAATATTATCTTTACGAATAATTATATTGTTTCATATAACCAGTCATTTTGCTCAAAATAAATAGATGATTTTTAATATTTTGATCCATTTATCAAATATCGAGTTAGTGAACTCAGTTATGCCATTTTTTAATATCCCGTATAGTATATTTTAATCAATATTTAAAACGAGAATTTGATCCTGTAAATGCAGAAAGCTAAAAATACAAATTAAACTATCATATTAGTATGGGTTAAGTTTTTGACTTTAGATTTTGATTAGCATCATTATTCAGTATAAGTAATATTATGGAATACAATATTCTGTTGGACTAATCATTTTTCTATAGTGATCTTAGGTTGGTTAAAATATCTTTAAAGTGTTGAGATCTTACTCAATAACAATTCTTTGCAGTCGAACCCTAATTACCTTCTTATTATATTCATGCAGCTAAATAAAGCATAAGATAGTGAGAACTACCTTGTTTCTTATTAATTCATGCTTTTAAATCTTATCCGACCTTGGTAAACTAATGTCCATATCAGTTTCAAACTTGTGCACCAAATGACTATCTAACATATTTCGTATTTTCCAGAAATTACTACTAGAAATATCGCACCCAAAACGTTGTTCATGATGATTAAGAAAATTGTACACTACCAACTTACACAAGTGGTCGTTTTATTATGGCTATCAAAAAAGGTTAAAGTATATCACATGTCACTAAGATCATCAGATTTTATTTGAAATTCCATAACGTGACACCTCTGCAAGTCGAAAAATTACTGGCGCATGCACACATTCACATAAAATAAACAGACTTGAAAGCGTATAAGTCATTCACGAAACATTTATTACAAAATATTAACATACACAGTTCTGTCTCCGGATATCTTGGTAAGGAAATTCGGAGTTAATTTCATTCTATTCATTCTTACGTCCCATAATAATTACTTCAAAATGTAGTCTATATATAGAGCAAGTAGAATAATTTACCTGGGATCGAACAATGAAGTAAGAAAGACTAAGAGGTTGAGAGCGTAAGCTAGTTAAGATGGCTTATTTAATGAGAACCAGATAAACTATTGAACAAGCATACCAAAACTAGATCGCTGAAATTAGTAATATGACAAGAAATCTAACATTCACTGTTGTTTAATGCTATAAATATCGTGATCCAAAAGGAGTTGGCGATGATGGTACCATGCTTTTGAAACGTTCTCTGATGATGTGACAGAAGATTAATGAGGAGGATAGCGGTGGTCTGAATGGATGTGGCACTCATTGTTCATGTTATCAACAAATTACTGAGTCAGGACTCGATGACCTTCATTTTTAACTCAAATGCAGTCCAAACTCTATTCGGTCATATGCTTAGAACAGTACTAATTTATCGACTGTCAATGAAAGTATGGTTAGTGTAACACAGATCCGATAAACACGGTAAATATCACTACGTTGTAATTAGTTTACAGATAGTTTTGGTTTACTATTATGAATACACTTCTCAAGCCAAAAGACTGTCACAAATGTATAAAGATTAGAATTGACAAAAAATCAATCATTTTACTTATGTTCGCTGGGAATATTTTTCCAAAGTAAATCTTTACTAACTATCAGGTAACTCAAGTCTATTATTTTCACTTATAATTACAGCCAATTGACTCACGTTTATCTATTTACACCAAGTATACACTCAAGAAGACAAATAATAAATGTGACAAATAATGAATTACCAGTTGATTGTTCGAACAATAAGACAGTAAATAAATAAATCTCTATGATATAATTTAAATAAAGTAAGAAAATACGTTATTTCAAGATGTGTATTCCATCATGTTTTGAATTTGACTTCCTGCTCAAACATCAGAATACCAGCTACAAAAATATGAATAGTGATAGGCAGTTATGTTTTGACAAATGGTTGTCTCTAAAACAGCTGCTTCCCATGTTTAAACTGATCAGTGTTTGTGGATATGATTGCATTGTGCAGAACTCACTATTATTGTGGCCTTCTCAAGATACTATCCACCATAATCAAGGTAGATAATCACAATTTATCCATACAAAGAGGTTATACGGTAACAGTGTCAGTAACTCATGCATGGTGGTAGTTGTAAGTAGTCGCCAGGAAATCCTGGACCTAGGTTTCGTGCAATTTGGCACAGGCGAGCAAGCTCAGTGGTAACGTCACTGAATTTGAAGCTGCGTAATACACTATCGATTCTACTATAAGGTATCACTTCCTTCAAGATTGCAGGTAGACCTTGCTGACAAATGCAAAATAGCACGAAACCTAGGTCCAGGGTTTCTCGTCAACTACCTCCAACCACCTTACATCTCAAATTAGTGCACATGATGTCCATTCACTTAGACTAGTGGCCATATCACAATAACTAATAGCTTGTTCGTCCTAATTTCATAGACTCTTGGGGTAAAATGCATTTCTTAAACCATCCATGGGCATAATTTAGTTCTTTTCAAGTTATTTTGTATTTAACAAGTCTCAATCACCTTTCAGTAAAATATGGGGTGTATAAATCCGTTTATGTTAAGAAAAGCCGATGGAAAGATGGTGCCTATTTTGGTGTCTGATAATTTCAATTTTAGTCAATCAGTTATAGAGCGCAACCCATGAAACAAATTTTCGAAATAACATATTCGAGATGCATGGTTTCACAAAAACCAAACGAGATTTATGTAGAGAAAGTTTCTCATAATTCATGTGATTATTGTATATAACCGGATAAGGTGCATTTCACTAGTTACTACATAACTAAATCGACACACGGATTCATTTATTTTGTGGATTCTCCTCAGGTGCATACAGCTTAAAACCATAGTATTAATCATTAAAACGAAACAAGTACACATACTTTATATCGGAAACATTTAGAATAAATTGAGTTGAAATGTGAGAATAAAATAATGTACGTAATAATCCCACGAAAATAAGGTCACCAGCGTAGAACGAGATATATAACTTTCTTTCTAGATACATTAATTCAGTCTGAATCTTTTTATTGCAATAGCTTCGGCAAAGCGTAATAGTTTGGTGTTTATTTGTTTGTTGATTATTTTGGAAGATTTCTCAACTTCAGCATCATGTCTATGATGAGCGATTGCACTACTGAAAACCTGTCCGTTCAGTCTCAAATTTATTATGTTCGAAAATGCGGATGCAAACTCGATGTTCTTCCGATGTATGTGCTTTGGTATGTACACGTCAGCTAGTAAACGCAGTTGAGGGTAACATAAGGTGGATATCTGTCCACATTCGACTGCCTCAATGAGGATTTAGTTTTGTACAGAGACACCAACATGATCCCTGGATACGTTCTTTTAAGTATTGCCTTTAATATAAAATCAATCCTTCCAGCTATTTCATCACTTTGAAGCCAAGTTTTAAGAAGACAGGCTTTTTCTGAACCTTAGTATATTCCACTTCCTTTTTTATAGTATTTGCTTATGGGTTTTTGCGGATAACCGTTCTTAAGTGGGCAACGTTCAACTATGGTTACTTCCCACTAAATTCTAACCTCAGAGTATAAACTGCTTACACGGTTGAATAGCGTTCTAACCAAAGCTCTTTTGTAGCTTATCGGAAAGAAGTTTTAGAAGTTCAAGTATAGCCCACTCCATGTGTCCATTTGATAAATATATCTTTCTAATTGGCCATTTGAATTACGTATAGTACTAAGATCGAGAAAACGAAATATGACATCATGTTCACATTCCATTGTAAATCCAATGTTAAGAAATGCTCTGTTGAAAAGTTCTAGTATACTAGGATTATAATGAGAATAATTACATGCAACAAATTTTTCATCCACATACCTGACATACAACGGTATGCAGTGATTGTCAATTTCATAAATGTTTGTTCTAGGTTCGACAGTTAATCAGTCAGTCAGCTACAACGTAGGACCAGGCACATATGTGCATCGGTCAAAGTTGCCATACCTCATTAGCACAACAAAGGGATATCTACTAGGATTGAACCATCAGACTGCCCATGGCCAGTCCACCAACTTGATGGTACAGGATATCATTGATTTGAACATACTTGTTACACATCAGTAGTAGTTGTTTGAAGTCATCTTTCGGTAAGGAAAGTAGTTCACCATGTTAACATATAATTTGTATGGTTTCTTGAGGTAAATAGTGGTGAAATATCAAGTGAAACCATGAATTTACCAAGGATGTTAACATTTTCTAGCATCTGAGTAAATTGAGAGGTGTCTTCCAAACTATGGACAGTTAACTTCGAGAGAATAGGTTCTAATATGTTCCCTAAACACTTAGCAAGTTTGTGAGGTGGAAAATTGATCATCAATATGATAGGTCTAACGGAAATATCAGGTTTGTGTAATTTTGGTTGTCCATACAAATAAGGTAATCTGTATACCCCATGTTTCAGGACATAATATGTCTGATTATTAATTAAATTTCTATTCAAAGATCTCTAAACTTGCTTGCGATATGTCTCTTTGTTGCTTCAGACATATCCTTTTTCGATCAGTCAACTAGGATACTAACAGTACCATATAGAATCGTCTTAACTTTGTTAACATAGCTTTCTTCGTCTACCAGAGCTCTTATCATGTTTGAGAATAACGATATTTTCATTATGCATTAAGTTTTTCAAGGTTGTTTGGTGCTCTTTAGATAAAACTTTCAACTGTGGGATTTGACATGTCGTGTATTGATTAGCAATATCAACGAATCCATTTTTAAGCCAATCTTGTTTTCCTTCATATTATTTTCACTTCCGACAACTGGTCATAAAAGTTCTCAAACTGGGTTCCTCAGAATATGAAATTTAAATCCGAGTGAAAGTGCCTCATTCTCAATTTGACTCAAGTTAATGCTTGACACGTTGCAAACAAATCTCCCAGCATACCTTCAAATAATTGTTCTTTAACAAGGGTTTTCGATAATCTCTTCCCAAAGTTTCTATATACTTTTTTCTGGACTTCTTGAAAGAAACTGATCAGCTTAAGTATACATATGATATTCAGTTCCTCCAAAGAAATTTCTGTACTCAGCTTAGAAACCAGATCTTTTATGAGTTGATTTTGCGGTTTGACTACACGTCGAAGAATTTTTAATGGAGGCAATTCACATAGGTGGGTAGTTTTGAGAAACTAACCAGGACAGCAGAAGGAAGTTGAAGACTGTTCAGAAAACCTTGTTCTCTTAACTTCTCTGGCTAATATGCATCGAATTATTATCAGATGATTCAGTAACTTGAATGATTGAGGTGAAATCATGAACTCACGCCATTCTGATACAATATTTCTTCTCTCTCTATTCAAATGGGGAAAGTTGTACGAAATAAATCGACACCGTTGAGTGCTATTCGAGTTATTATGGTCGATTCATTATACTCTGAAGGTAAATTAGTCTTGCCCATATTTTACCGACTGTAAATAAATTCTAGATTACAAGCAGCTATTCCTTGTCTAGTGTGACTAATAGTCACCCCTCATTTGGATGGGAATTTGAAATCCATAAATACAATAAAGAAGAAACTAGTTGGAAGACTATGTATGGTTTTCGTTAAATTATTGCACTAATTGTGTTTTCTATCCATTTGACTTTTAGTGAATTCAGTGTAAATTTCACTCATAATAAAACTAATTTTTTTATCAATCAATTCATTATAATATTCAATTGCATTAATTCTGAAATTTGTGTTCAGGCAACAACTGATCAGTTTATTACTGTAACTAATAATCATTGGATTTAGTCGGAATGTAACATGAAATTTTTCTTCGATTTTACTAAAGAAATCTTTATCAGCAGATAGGCTTTGGAGCGGTCGAGGCTAAGAGATGGAAGCTTCCGTATCCTCGTTAGGTGTGTTGTCAGAGTTAGCGCTGTTGCAGCTAATTATAACACACAAATCGCCCCATTTCTGTAATCAATGCAAAGAGTACTTTGTCAGTATATATTTAAATTGGATCTACCAATCAACATGTTTTGATTCATTTAGGAAGTGTTGTACGAGTATTTACTAATTAACCAGACTTCCTAGATCCACTGGTACTTCCCAACATTGGTTAGTTGTTTTAACTAACTCACTAGCCATTCACTTATACATGAGCCAGACTAGACGTATGGGGACTAATGAAACTAGCAGGTTGCCCAAACTGAAGTAGGTGAGACGGGGTTGGGACTTAATGGCTGTAAGATGGACGTCTTAGCCACTGAGTTACTGCTACAACTACATTTCACTACAATAATCATTGGAATGAAATGGCTCAAAATCGTTTGCAATGGCGCAGGTGCATACACTCTTTGTGTTCTCCCAAATTCTAATTTTCTGAATTCTTCATGTCCCTTTTTTTCTCTTTCCAAATCTATTTCACTGTATTATACTCTTTAAGTAACATCTCCAAACCTTAATCTTCCCGATTACTGCTTATACTCTTATTACCTCTACCACTACGGGATTTGAATCGACAACTGCATCTCTGTGCTAAGGTGGTGTGGCAACTCGAACTGATGTACGTACGTTCGAAGTTCTACGTTGTTACTGACTGACTGACTGGTATTTTTTACAGCAGGATACTTCCTTCATAATAGACAAGGTGCTTAAGGAATCCTTTCTTAAAGATACCCAAACACTTCATCTTTCGATCTCACTAATACCTTCCGAGTTATACTTTTTGGATTTAGTTTTTGAGTACAGATGATATTCCTTTTTTTCGTTACATATTTTTCATCTAATTGGTCTCTAAATTCTACGCTAATGTGACAGTTTAAACGAGTTCACATTCATACCAAGAGTAGTACGATGTCTAAAACTAACTGACAAACTTATTAAGTTACATTGGTAGAGATTTATTGAAATAAAACATGCATTTAACTTTCAAACAATTAAGAATGAAATTTTATCTAAACATATAGTTTATTAAGTTTATATTTTAATGACAATACAAATTATGAGTAAAATCCGTTGTATTATTATACGACTAAAGTAATAAACAAATATTCATTTTTCATCATAGATAATAACGATGAAAATATTTCATAACTGATTTATACATTTGAAAAACACATGCAGAAAATAGATTGAATGTACGATGTTGTTGTTGTATTGTATTGTATTCAAACAAACACATATATCTATTTAACTATGCATGGAATAGATGATGTAAACAAAATAATGATCATATAGATAGAACCAGTTTGTTGTTGTTGTTGCTGTTTTTTAAATGCCAGTTTATAAAACGTGAATTAAATAACGAAATACATCTTCAAAATAATTATAGTGAAAACACATGAACAATTAAATGTACACAAAATGAAAGGATATATTTCAGAATGACTGATATACAATAGTCAGTCGTGTAAATGATATATATATATATATATATATATATATATATATATATATATATATATATATATATATGCTTCACTCTACTAGTGACAATAATAATGATAATGATCATAATAGTAATAGTAATGATTATTATTATGTTTAGACACAACTAAAACATTGCACAAAATAATTCATACAATGTTATGAACAGAATATTCAATGTAATTACTTAGCTGGTACATCATAAAACAACCATGCAAGGGGATAACGAATCATAAATGCGAAACAAGAACAGAGTATCTGATAAAAAAAAGAGAGAATATGAATTAATTAATTATTTTCCTTGAAGTGATTTTGGAAGGGACTGAGATAAATCGAATAACTGATACAAAAAACCAGAAACAATTAAATAATAATGCTAGTTAAGTTAGTCAGCTACAACGTAGGATCAGGCACATATGTGCATCGGTTCAAGTTGCCATACCTCATTAGCACAACAAGATGAAGACTGCAAACCCTTAACCTTTACATCACTAAGCCAGCATCCAGTGGTGAATATCAATCAATTTACAATATTGCACAACCCTTATACATCGTCTGTTGTGGATAATTGGCTAACACAATACATAAGGGGGTCGTGGATACACAGTCCCATAGTAGAACGAAACGGTCGTCTAGTGCTTCCAGGTTTCGATGATAGTCTAGCTAAGATCAATTTGCAATTTTAACTATGAAGATCACATATATTTGTTATGCAACAAAAGGAAATTTATGGAATGATGGGTGCACTACTATGAATTAAAAAAAACATTTCTATCCAAAGTGCAACAAATGTGCATTTTGTATAGATTTATGTGTAACATAATAAGAAATCGAAAAGATATCTACTTACAAACTTTGTTAATTAAATATATCTTTAACTAGTTTTATTTTGAGTCATGAACAAGGTTTTGTTCGCATACAATAACTGTAGCTCAAATCAAAAGTTACATTAGTATGTTATCAATAACAGATAAACAGAATTTTTTGTTTCTTAATCGTATGAAACAGTCAATAACAACGTAGAACTTCGTACGCACGTACATCAGTTCGAGTTGCCACACCACATTAGCACGGAGATGCAGTTGTCGATTCAAATCCCGTAGTGGTAGAGGTAATAAGAGAATAAGCAGTAATCGGGAAGATTAGGGTTTGGAGATGTTATTTAAAGAGTATAATACAGTGAAATAAATTTGGAAAGAGGAAAAAAGGGACATGAAGGATTCAGAAGATTAGAATTTGGGAGAACACAGAGAGTAAATGCACCTGCGCCATTGCAAACGATTTTGAGCCATATCATTCAGGGTCTCTAACCATCGGTTGCTATCATCTCGCGGTCCCCAATCAGGTAGTCTACACCTACCAACATGACTCAGTCTACTTGTCAGTGACTTCATGGACTTGTGCCATGTTTTGATCTGGCCGCCTCTAGCTTTCTTCCAATCTACTCCTATACCACTGAACATAGCACGTCGAGGCAGTCAGTGGTTGGGCATACGTAACACGTGTATCAGCCATCTCAACTGATGAAGTTTCACTACTTCATCAACTGATTTGCCATCCTTATCTAGTACCTGTGTCCTAACAACTGAGTTACTTATCCGGTGGTCCCAGGATATACGAGCAATTTTTCGAAGACACCTATGATCAAATACTAGTAGCCCACGAATATTCTCTACTCTTACCGGCCATATTTCACTGCCATAAAGTAGGACGGAACGAACTGCTGCGCAGTAAACACGTCCTTTGGTTGATAGACGGATATCTCGTCTACGCCATAAATGACGCAAGTTGGCAAAAGCTAGTCGAGTCTTCTGTATCTGTGCTGAGATTTCGTCACACACCAGACCACAAAGACTGATGAGACTTCCATGATAAGTGAATCGGTCGACACGCTCAACTACTTCACTCCCTATCATTAGTTCAGATGCCGATGCAATCTTATAAAACAGAATAGAACTGTTTACTAAAAAGACACCAGCTTATACATAAGTTGCAAAGCATACAGAAAAAATAAAACCTGACAGTCTCTAGTGCGTGAAACTGATTCACACTTTAGAGGAATTATGAAATTTTGATGGGGATTCTAATAAATTATTTCAATTTTAAGGCTGAACACTACTACTAGGAAGCTACTCAACCCTCCTTTCTTTAGTGATTATAGTGGTTTTAAAAGTTATAAACAGAAAGAAGGAATATCTAGGACTAGTAACAATGATTGGATATGAAGATACTGGATTGCGTAACAAATTTTGACCATATTACTCGAAAGCTTTTTGTCTTAAACATTAGAAAGCATGTTGATATCAAGCTAGATGTTTAACTGCTATTCGTGAATGAGTGACAATACTAGAAACCTTTTTGTGAGGGTTCATCAGCACACATTCCAGTGTAGACAGTTTTGTATGTCTTTTAACATGGCGACCCCCGAATTCGTCCCAACGTTGGACCCAAATAGATCACATCGCTATCAGCCACCGATGGAGGGGCTCGATAGAAGACTGTCGCTCATTCTGGAGCACATGCCTAGATTCAGATCATGCTCTAGTGCGAGCGCGTATTTGCTTGCGTCTTACTGGACGTAGGAAAGACGCTGCAAGGAAACCTCTTAGGGCCTACTTAATGATAGTCAAGCTAAGAGTATATTTCAGGAACAACTAGGAAAACAGTTAGGCAGCCATGTATGTGATGCCCACCCCGATGCAGCATGGAATGATATCCGAAAAGCTGTGGAAACAGCAGTGATATCTGCTAGTAAGGTAAACCAGAAGGTTAGGGAGCAACACTGGATCTCAGCAGCATCTATCGCACTGATAGATGCTCGGAAACTCATTCCACCTGGCTCTGAACATAATGAAGAGCGGAGTCAGCTTAAGCGCAAGCTGACAAGAAGTCTACGCAATGATCGCGAACAGTGGTGGGTAGCGAAAGCAAGAGAGATGGAAAAGGCAGCGGCAATAGGTAATAGCAGACAATTGTTCAGACTCGTTAAGGAAACCGGAATTAGGAACCCGACCGTTAGCGAAACAATCTCAGAGAAAGATGGACATATTATTCATTCTCAATCCAGGAGATTGGATCGATGGGCAGAACACTTTAGGGATCAGTTCAACTGGCCTTCAGCCACACTTCGGTTTCCCACGATCTCCAGTCAACCTGAATGGCAAGTTAATGTAGGTCCTCCGTCCCTTTACGAAGTTGAAAAAGCCATAGGAAATCTGAAACGAGGGAGAGCAGCAGGCCCTGACAGGTTTACTCCTGAGATTTTTAAGGATGGTGGTCCAGTATTAGCAATGAGATTAACTGAGGTCTTAGGTAGAATTTGGGAACTGGACGTAATCCCATCTGACTGGTCTCAATCACTGATTGTGCCAGTCTATAAGAAAGGACAAAAGTCCTCTTGTGACAATCACAGAGGAATCAGTTTGACTAATATAGTGTCTAAAATATTAGCTTCAATAATACTTCGACGCCTAATCAAAGCTCGTGAAGAGCAGATTAGAGAAAACCAGGCCGGTTTTCGACCTGGACGTGGTTGTATAGATCAGATATTCACACTACGTCAGGTTCTAGAACACAGACACACATTCAGACGCCCCACAATGGTAGTATTTCTCGACCTTAAGGCGGCATTCGACTCTGTTGATCGTGAGGTTCTATGGCAGTGTTTGTCACTGAAAGGAGTACCAAAGAAGTACATTAACCTTATAAAGGCTCTCTACTCGAACACAACTGGTCGAGTGAGAGCTTATGGCGAACTGTCATCAGAATTGATTACCTCAAGTGGTGTTCGTCAGGGCTGTCCACTCTCCCCATTCTTGTTCAACTTTGTCTGACGTACTTTTAGAGATAACACTCTCCTCATCTAAATTTCCAGGGGTTGAACTTCTACCGGGAGGTTCACTTGTTGACTTAGAATATGCTGATGACATAGTTTTATTTGGTGAAGACGCTGACAAAATGCAGAGTCTTCTGACCACTCTAAGCAACAATGCAAGCATGTTCGGGATGCGATTCTCTCCCTCGAAATGCAAAATGTTGCTTCAGGATTGGGTTACATCGACACCCGAACTAGTGATAGGGAGTGAAGTAGTTGAGTGTGTCGACCGCTTCACTTATCTTGGAAGTCTCATCAGCCCTTGTGGTTTGTGTGTGACGAAATCTCAGCACGGATACAGAAGGCTCGACTAGCTTTTGCCAACTTGCGTCATTTATGGCGTAGGCGAGATATCCGTCTATCAACCAAAGGACGTGTTTACTGCGCAGCAGTTCGTTCCGTCCTACTTTATGGCAGTGAAACATGGCCGGTAAGAGTAGAGGATATTCGTAGGTTACTAGTATTTGATCATAGGTGTCTTCGAAACATTGCTCGTATATCATGGGACCATCGAGTAAGTAACACAGTTGTTAGGAAACGGGTACTAGGTAAGGATGGCAAATCAATTGATGAAGTAGTGAAACTTCATCAGTTGAGATGGCTGGGACACGTGTTACGTATGCCCAACGACCGACTGCCTCGACGTGCTATGTTCAGTGGTATAGGAGTAGGTTGGAAGAAAGCTAGGGGCGGCCAAACCAAAACATGGCACAAGTCCATGAAGTCACTGACAAGTGACTGAGTCATGTTGGTAGGTGTAGACTACCTGGTTGGGGACCGCGAGATGATAGCAACCGATGGTTAGAGACCCTGAATGACATGGCTCAAAATCGTTTGCAATGGCGCAGGTGCATCCACTCTCTGTGTTCTCCCAAATTCTAATCTTCTGAATCCTTCATGTCCCTTTTTTCCTCTTTCCAAATTTATTTCACTGGATTATACTCTTTAAATAACATCTCCAAACCCTAATCTTCCCGATTACTGCTTATACTCTTATTACCTCTACCACTACGGGATTTGAATCGACAACTGCATCTCTGTGCTAATGTGGTGTGGCAACTCGAACTGATGTACGTACGTACGAAGTTCTACGTTGTTACTGACTGACTGACTGAGACAGTTTTGTACAGGAAAGCTATCAGTATGAAATATTATGAAAAAAATCGATATCTACCTGCTGTTTTTTGAAAAGTAATCAACTTTAAGGAGTTATTATTCTTGGGACTATTTACGCTTACAAACGAAACAGAGGGGTCACGTCAACCAAGTTAAATGGTCAGACTAGCAAATGCTCTGGTACGGTCGAGAGTGAGGAGAAGCCGCTCTCCCTCTCCAAATGTTCTCACATGGCCACGCGTATATAGCCTCTGCCACGGAAGTCCTACTCACTGCCTTCTCGTTGCGCGGGTGTTGTTTACGAAATTGAGAGGACGAAAAGCGAATGTCCGGCGCTGTAACCGGGTTAGTGGACATGGAAAGTTCACCTAGAGGAGTTGGAAAACCCTCATTCCAAACCAATGGTGCACATAGGCTCCAGTATCCTGAGGGACATAATGGCATATGAACCAATCGTTGGTCACCGGCTACCATGGGACTGCATCTCCTTACGATGCTCCACTGCCTTGTGGATCAGACCTTCAGGTCGAAGGCTCCAGGTGTGGTCTCTTAGGAAGACAGCCTGCTTCGGTTTGGGCACCTGGGTAGTATCACAGCCCTCGCACATATCAAATGAGATTTGTGTGGCGCATATGCATCTGGTGCCGCCTTGTACCAATATCTATGTGTTAAAATAAATAAATAATACAGTTATAAACTACCCTATCGTGCCAAGAAATGATTAAACAATTTGAAATGAGGTTATAGCGTAAACCTTACTACTAAAGCTCCACAGAGGAACGCCCTCACTGAAGAAAACGAACTAATAGTATGGAATAAATTTGATGTGGATGCTAATAGGTGATCTAACATATCAATTCTAACCTGTCGGTTATTCAGTAGTTTGGGGCAAAATGACGTTTTAGCTTTCTTAAGGTACAAATTTAATGGGAAACGTACTTGGAGTAGCAAAAGAGTATTGGTGGTTTGTTGTTCATTTCTGGGTCCCAAAACACGTAACATCATATTTATGACAGTAAGGTTGTCTACTTCAACAATCTCTTCAGTAGGTAACTTGGTTTGAACTGGGCTTCTACTTCTAGCTCTTCGTCTTTCCGATGTTTGTTCTTCATCAGAAGACATATTTTCATGAGATGATTGTGAAACGATCATTCCCGTCGTGGGTGATGTGGAAATATTCGGAATACAATCCGGGCAAAGTTTGCATTCAATTATGCCCACGTACGAAAACACAGTCAAAACAAACTGACCAGGACGTGATAAAGACTTTGGATGAAAACGAACACGACTGGGATGTAATAGACCATCTGCTGGATCGTATCTAGAAGAAATAAATATCAAAACATAGGATTTCACATCAATAGTATATCATGCAAATGCGACTAATATCACCGGAGAACTTAAGAGAGTAACTAAAAATAGGTTTTTTGTTGTGTACTTTTACACCAATGGCTGTAGCTACCGGGTAGATGTTCTTAAACTCATGTTATTTATTGTTCTTATCAAACGAAGTGAAATTATCAAGAATATAAGAAGGATACAGTTATAATTGGTTACTCATACTTTTTAGTGGATAATACTTCAGTTTGAACTACGACTAAGAAATCACATCAACTGGTCTAAATTGTCAGATATGGCATATATATACATGCATATTTAAACAGAACATTACATTATCACTAATCCACAAGAATTTAATCTCAAAAAATAGTGCGCAGTCATTTCCCAATGTCATCGGTAAGTGACTTCCTCGCTTGACGTGGTTAACTGCACTGGTTACGGCTTCTCATCGAAAGATTATTTATTTATTATTTATTTGAACACATAAATATTGGTACAAGAATGCGCCACACAAAACAATGAAAATTTAAAGGGGAAGGACAAAAAAAAGAGATTGATGTAAGGTGGTGTAATAATAATAATGGTAAAAATGGCGGAACAGAAAGGTACAATCAGGAGAAATCTTTCAGTTAAGGGAGACACAACCACTTTTTATGAAGAAAGTAAAAGGTTACAGCAGGATCGCCACTGGCTTCTATTCTGAGCCATATCTGATAACGCCACTAGCCACTGTGTAGTACCATCTCTCGGACCCCAACCAGGGAGTCGTGAAGGACCAGCACAGGCCAGCCCTTTGCAGCTTTCTTTCATACCACGACACCATATTATACACTGACCACCTCTCCGCTTTTTCCAACTAGTCCCAGTGTCAGCAAATAATGTACAACGTGGAATTCTCCGGGACAACATTCGTAGAACATGTCCAAGCCACCGAAGTCGGTGTTTCAAGATGGTGACACCAATTGCATTATCGTCTCTGTGACCGAACACACGATGCCGAACCTCTGCATAACTGACATGGTGTTGCCACTAGATGTCAGCAATCCTTCGGAGACAACGATGATCGAACACAGAGAGTCGTCTAACATCCTAACCTTGGAGGCCAGGTTTCACAAGCATAGAGCAAAACTGCTCTCACCGACGCGTTGTAGATCCGACCTTTTACAGCCAGACTAACATCACGAAGGTGCCAAAGGTGGCCCAGGTTGGCATAAGCCGCTCTGGCTTTCACTATTCGTGCATTGATCTCATCACTCACACCCCCACCAGCACTCATACAGCTACCCAGATACACGAACTTCTCGACTACGTCTATCTGCTCACAATCTAGAGTGAGTACAGGGTTAGAATCCTGCCAGTCTTGTAGAAGTACTTTGCACTTCGAAGGTGCAAAGCACATACCATACCTACGGACACTGATTGCCAACTGATTAAGTGCGGATTGCATGCCTTGGGCATTATCGCACAGTAAGACAATATCATCCGCATACTCAAGGTCGAGAAGTCTTTCTCCAGGCAACAGATCCACAGCGCCATTACCTACATCCATCAGAGCTGTTTCCAGAATGTCATCGATGGCAAAGTTGAAGAGGAATGGTGAGATTGGGAAACCCTGTTTAACCCCACTGCTCGTATGGAACAATGGAGAAAGATGGTTGTATGCCCTCACTCTGCCTGAGCTGTTTGTATATAGGGCTTTTAGGATGTTAATAAACTTCTCAGGCACACCCTTCTTCAATAGACAATCCCAGAGAACAGTCCTATCCAACGAATCGAAGGCAGCCCTGATGTCAAGAAACACTACGATTGTTGGCCTTTGAAAAGTATGGCGGTGTTCTAACATTTGGCGGAGGGTGAAGATATGATCAATAAATCCTCGACCGGAACGAAACCCAGCCTGCTCCTCGCGAGTCAATCTTTCTCGGGTTTTGAACAATCTATGAAGTATGACGGAAGCCAATAGCTTGGACGCAGTCGGAAGTAGACTTATCCCCCGATAGTTGTTACAGGAACGACGTGAACCCTTTTTAAAGATAGGGACAACTATCGACTCATTCTATGACGTTGGTACACTCTCTAGTTCCTAGACCTTGTAAACGACGTCGTCAGTTCCTTAGTCAGAAAGTCACCACCATCTTTAAAAAGAGCCAGAGGTAAGTCATCTGGGCCCAGTGATTTGTAGCGATTCACGAGTTGGAGTTCCTTGCGGACTTCCGCCTCATTTGGTGGATCAGTCGTCGCCGTCCATGGAGGGCAGGACAGTCTGACCGATGTTGCCGGAGCAGCAGGCCAGTTGAACTGCCCTTTAATTTTCGTAAACAACACCCCCGCCACGAGAAGGCAGTGAGTAGGACTTCCGTGGCAGAGGCTGTATACGTGTGGCCATGTGAGAGTATTTCGAGAGGGAGGGCGGACCCACCCAGCTCTCGACCGTACCAGGGCGCCGTACTTGCGCCTGTTACTCCTCGTGAAGGAGCATAGGCCGCTCACCAGCATTCTCCATCCAACCCTGTCCTGGGCAATCCTTTCTAGCTCCTTCCAGTTGTTATTCATCCTTTTCATATCTGCTTCTATTATCCGACGTAATGTGTTCTTTGGCCTCCAACTTTTCCTCTTCCCTTCAGGATCCCAAGTTAGAGCTAGTCTCATGATGCAGTTTGACGATTTGCTTAATGTATGTCCTATCCATTTCCATCGTCTTTCCCCAATTTCTTCTTCAGCTGGAAGCTGATTTCTTTTCTCCCACAAAAGGCTGTTGCTGATGGTATCCGGCCAATGGATGTTGAGTATCTTGCGTAGACAGCTATTTATAAATACTTGTACCTTCTTGATGGTGGTTGTTGTAGTTCTCCAAGTTTCAGCTCCATACAGTAGAACTGCCTTGACGTTCGTATTGAAGATTCTCACTTTGATATTGGTTGAAAGTTGTTTTGAGTTCCATATGTTCTTCAATTGTAGGAATGCGACCCTTGCTTTGCCGATCCTCGCCTTTACGTCTGCATCTGAACCTCCTTGTTCATCGATGATGCTTCCCAGGTATGTGAAGGATTCTACATCTTCCAGAGTTTCGCCATCAAGAGTGATTGGATTGCTGTTCTCCGCTTTGAATTTGAGGACCTTGGTTTTCCCTTTGTGTATGCTGAGGCCTACTGATGCAGAGACTGCTGCTACACTGGCTGTCTTCATCTGCATCTGTTCGTGTGTACGTGATAGGAGGGCTAGGTCATCTGCGAAGTCCAAATCGTCTAATTGATTCTGAGCTGTCCATTGTATTCCGTGTTTTCCTTCAGATGTCGAGGTCTTCATAATCCAGTCGACCACCAGAAGAAAGAGGAAGGGAGAGAGTAAACAGCCTTGTCTGACTCCAGTCCTTACTTGGAATGCATCTGTCAGCTGTCCTCCATGCACTACTTTGCACTGTAGTCCGTCGTATGAGTTCCGGATAATATTGACAATCTTCTCAGGAACTCCGTAGTGTCGAAGAAGTTTCCATAATGTCCTCCTATCTACACTGTCGAATGCCTTTTCATAATCAATGAAGTTGATGTATAGTGATGAGTTCCACTCAACTGATTGTTCGACGATGATCCGTAGTGTTGCAATTTGGTCTGTGCACGACCGATCCTTACGGAATCCAGCTTGTTGATCTCGAAGTTGGGCGTCTACTGCATCCTTCATCCGGTTCAGCAACACTCTGTTGAAGACTTTCCCTGGTATTGACAGTAGTGTAATGCCTCTGTAGTTTTCACATTTGCTCAGATCTCCTTTCTTTGGAATCTTGACGAGGTGTCCTTCTTTCCAGTCCATTGGCACTTGTTCCTCCTCCCAAATCTTTTTGAATAGAAGGTAAGCATGCTTGTGGTTGCTTCGATGTCTGATTTCAGTGCTTCAGCTGGTATGTTGTCGGGTCCTGCTGCTTTCCCGTTCTTGATTTGTCTGACGGCCATTCTAATTTCTTCCGTCGTTGGTGGGTTGACATCTATAGGAAGATCTATGTGTGCTGCTTCGATGTCCGGTGGATTCATTGGAGCCGGCCTATTCAGGAGTTCCTCGAAGTATTCTACCCATCTGTTACGCTGTTGTTGAATTTCGGTGATTGGCTTGCCTTCTTTGTCTTTGACCGGCCTCTCTGGTTTACTGTATTTCCCTGCTAGTTTCTTCGTTGTATCGTGAAGCTGTTTCATATTTCCTTCTCTAGCAGCTTTTTCTGCCGTCGTTGCTAGTTCTTCCACGTATTTCTTCTTGTCGGCTCTAATGCTCCTCTTCACTTGTTTGTTTGCTTCTATGTATTCAGCTTGTGCTTGGACTTTCTCTGCTCGTGTTCGGCTGTTGTTAATTGCTGCCTTCTTGTTCTTCCTTTCTTTGATCTTGTCCAGTGTTTCTATAGAGATCCATTCCTTATGATGGTGTTTCTTTAGGCCCAGAACCTCTTGACACGTTGAAGTTAATGCTTCCTTGATGCCTTTCCAGTTGTCCTCCATAGTAGTTTCTTCTTCCTTCAGTAGATCTTGTAAGGCTTGGAACCTGTTGTTGAGAGCTATCTTGAATTCATTGAGTTTGTCAGTATCTCGAAGGAAGGCTGTATTGAACCTTTGTAGTGCTGTTTGTCCACTTGTCCAGTTCTTTTTAGCTTCAGTTTTAAATTGGCTACAACTAGGTGGTGATCTGAAGCTACGTCAGCACCTCTCCTGGTTCTCACATCTTCCATTGTCCTTCGGAATTTTTTTTTGATGCAAATATGATCTATCTGGTTCTCTGTGGTCTGGTCCGGTGAGATCCATGTAGCCCTGTGTATACGTTTGTGTGGAAATATTGTGCCCCCTATGACCAATTTGTTGAATGCACACACATTTGCAAATCTTCCCCATTTTCGTTTCTCTCCCAGTCCATGTCGTCCCATAATATCTTCATATCCGGTGTTGTCTATTCCGACTTTGGCATTTAGATCTCCCATTAGAATGGTGAGGTCCTTCTTTGGGCATTTCCCTATGATTGACTGCATCCGCTCGTAGAATTGATCTTTAATGTCGTCGTTGCTATCATTGGTGGGTGCATAACATTGGATAATATTCATTAAGATCCCCTCCTTCTTTGTTTTGAATGATGCTTTGATGATTCTGGATCCGTGAGATTCCCATCCTACAAGTGCATTTCGTGCCACTTTGGACAGCATAAGAGCGACTCCCTGAGTGTGTGGAGCATTGCCCTCTTCGTGACCGAAGTATAGCAGCATCTCTCCCGTATTTATCCTTTGTTGTCCAGCTTGGGTCCAGTGGGTTTCGCTGATTCCCAGTACTGCCAAATTGTATCTCCTCATTTCCGTTGCTATTTGACTGGTCTTCCCGGTCTCCCACATTGTTTGGACGTTCCATGTACCTATAAAAATTGTTGCTCTGGTCGTTAGAAGGGGCATCGGCCTCGTGGCTTCCGAGTTAGTTTTCTACGGGATGGGGACGCTAACCCCATGCCCAACCCTCCTCCTTTACCCGGGCTTGGGACCGGCAGTAACTCTAGAAGGGCTACAGGCGGAGTTTCATTGAAAGATGGTTACGCAATATCATGAGTTGACTGATGTTAGACACGTACACCATTGGATGCTGGGTCAGTGGCCCAGAGGTTAGGTGTTTGCGCGTCAGGATCATGGAGCACATGTGCACAATTTGTTTTTTAGAATAAGGGTTTACCAACTCTCCTAAGTGGATCCTTCATATCCACCAACTCAGTTAAAGCACCGGACACTCGCTTTTCGTTTTCTCAATTTCGTACACAACAACCCCGCGGTGAGAGGGCAGTAAGTAGGACTTCCTTGTGAGTGGCCATGTTAGAGCATTTCGAGAGTGAGAGCTAATTCTCCCCACCCTCGGCCATATCAGGGCATTTGTGGGAAGTGTTACAGCAACAATTGAAAATAAACCTTGAATTTCTTTCAACCATTCATTAGCAGATAATAAAATGCTGCGACAGATATGATTTATGCGGCTATCAGAGTTATAATCCAGGGGATTTTATTAATGTCAGCCAGTCATTAAGACCTCATGATACGGACTAAATTTGCAACAGTCCAAGTTGCAATGCTAGATCAGTAAAGTAAACATCTACACAAACAGAAAGGATCCTGTTAAGCTGACAGAACTAAATGACATCGAAACGATATTATAGGAGCTACAAGGATAGGATATCAAAATATGAGGAACATATGAAATTGATTTCAAAACAAGATGCTGATAACAAGCTCCAAAGAAGTTATATCAAGTGAATTGTAATGACCTGACTAGATAATACGAAATCTTACAGTGTTAATAAAATAAGGACGTATTTAAAATAACTGTAAGACAACAACTATAATTTTCTACAAACGCTTGTTATATAAGATACTTACCGAGGCAATCGATGTCGTGGGCAGGGAATCAAACCAAACAGCTGAGGAGTGCTATACAGAAAGTTGACAATTTGCGGTAGAAAGAATAGTAACAATGTTTTGCTGAAATGACCCAAAATACCGACTACAGAGAAAGTCATGCCTGCAAAATAACAGAATGTATCGCCCACGAAAACCTTCGCCGGATATCTTTTGAAAAAGATGGGGAAATATTATTAGACTATTCTTAATATATTAAATGTAAATTACTTATCTGAAGAATGAAAAGAATGACAAAATGGTTGCTTTGTAAATTTAAATGAAATGACAGAGATGCAGCAGATAAGTTGCTTTGATCTAGTGGTTATATTGGGATTCATTAGCAATATACGGGCTAAATATAGCCAAAACACCGAATATGGTCCATATCGATATGGGTTTATTTGCTTTTCATACTACGAGGACTGGTCTTTTTTCAAATCTCCAGCACTTACATAGCAACCTAGACAAACTTTCCTACTGTTTCCAGCGACTTATGACACAGAGTAGTTATAAGCACAGATACCTGTCAGTTTGCAGAAATTCCTAACATACAGATTGTGCGATTTATGTACAACTGTGAATGACGGTAGATTACGAAATGGCTAATCCATGTAGCGATTTTGCAGCCGCAAAATGAGAAGATATTATTCACATATTCACTATTCGAAAATCTCTTTCTGGGTAACAAGTGTACATCAGCTCCACACGTTTTTTCAAAGCTACTTCCAAAAGGTCATTGTTAAAAGTAAAGAGGACTGTAGAGAATAAGTAACTTTCGCTAAACCCACTGTTGGTTTAGGAATGGTCTTAGTTTGGTTAAAAAACTGTAATTTTTAAATAGCCTGATGAATTAATCTTTAGACTACATTGAGTCCTTCACTAAGTCACACAAACAACCGGATGGTGCATTGAACAAATGTAACTGACCAAGTCAATCGAATTTGGGGAACAAAAGGAGGAAATAAGCGTAGATTGCACGAATTATATCAAAGATATATTTGCAAATCTTGAATATTTCATTATCTACAATTTATGTCCCATTTCCGACGAATATTTCATTGTTTATTTCAATACAGTTTCGTTTTAACGATCTCCCGTTACATACTGTTAAGAAGTACGGCAACTAGTATTGATGCACTTTATGTAAAGTTATATGCTGACTAGTTAGCTAAAATGAATTGAACGATATCTATCATACTTTCATGGGAGTAGAAACTAAGTGGACTAAAATACATATTACTGTACAATGCTTTATAAACAGCAATAAAACTGAGAAAACTCACCGGTTTACACGATACAGAGACCAACACACAAACAAAAATGGGATCAGAAAGTAGAGTGAAAAAAGATGAACACGCCAGTGATAACCTGAAATGTTGGATGGATTTATGGACCGATTACAAACGATACAAATAAGAAAGCAAAGTAAAAGGGTCTGGGCATTGTCATTTTATACTTACTGTGAAGAAATGATGTAATTAACGTAGTTTTATTATTTGTTTAGATATCCTCATGTTTTACATTTAGAAAAGTTCCTCTGTTGTCAGCGAAAGCATTTGTAAATTATAAGCATGGGAGTGATCGAACAGACTTGTTGAGAGATTAAAAGACTTACTTAAGCCCTTATTTAGACCTTGGGATTAAAAAAAAACCTTTGTATGGCCTATTTATTTTTTTATGCAAGTAAAAAGTTATCATTTAATGGAAAGTAGTTCAGACAATTTACTCCTAATTATTACACACAATTGTATTATAGTCTTTAAGTATCAATTTAATCATACGTTAACATATAACGTAGCTGATATAGTGAACACTTGTAAGTTAGGTTGATGTACAACTAACGTGAAAGGTAATATATGACTACCTTAGCAAGTAGACTGAGATCTAAATAACTGGTAAATGTCCAGTTCCAAGACCATAGACTACAAACCTATGGGTTGAAAACTTCAAATAATATTAAATAACTGTTGCTCTTAGTTGAATATCTCCTGAAAAAACTACAAGGAATAAACAAAGTTTTAAAAAAAACATTTTAATAACTTACTAGAAAGTTCGATCAGATTGAACAAAATTAGAGAAGCACCAATCACAATTGCCTGACCAACTTCAAGACCATTTACTCCCGCATAGATGTTTATAGAATTAGTACAGAATACAGTCAGCAAACCCATATATATGTAATATAAAATACCTAGGTAATTTGAAATAAATTATCAAACATACTAGATTTTAAGCGATGATCAGTAGTGAAAATGACGGGCATATACACTTTGGTGAATGGCTGAACAAGTTAAAGTAAATGAGGAACGAAGTGATAATTTTCAACCTTATAAAGAAATTATTTAAATGTGAATCTAATTATACAGAAATAGACCCGCTTTAGTAATTTCGAGCGTATTCGATGCTGGATAGGGAAAATGTCAATGACATCTTGAAATTAGATTCTATCAAGCAATATGATACTTTTATAACAACTAGTGGCAACTAGACGGCAGTGAGCTCCTATCGGAAGAGCAACTGAGATCTGAGATGAGTTCTGGGAACTGATCACTTATGATTCCTAAGATGCTAAGTTCATTATGGGATAAAAGAATAAGGGACACAATTTTTTATGCTTTTGAAATAGGCTAAAAGATGGGAAAGCCATATCGAGTAGAATACTAAGGATTGAGTTTATGCCTGATATTTTTTCTAGCTGGTTCAGAACAGTCCAGAGGATATAGCAAGTAAACCACACAACCACAGTGTAAAGGTTGTCTCTTCGAGTAACCAACTTACAGAACCAACCACTAGTGTCTGAACCCTTAAGTTGTTTACTTGAACAAAAAATGGACACCAAAGCTAACATTAAGACTATTTTCTATGAAAGACCTTTGAGCAACGCTAAAATGACCTTAGAATGTCCGCTTACTTACTGAAGTTAAATGAAGGTTATATACTAGTGTGAGGAATTTGAATTAGGATTTACAGCTGAACATTTTTTATTATTTATTTTAACACATGAATATTGGTACAAGGAGGCACCAAATACATATGCGCCACACAAATCTCATTTGATATGTGTGAGGGCTGTGATACTACTCGGGTGCCCAAATCGAAGCAGGTGGTTTTCCTAAGGGACCACACCTGGAGCCTTCGACCTGAAGGTCTGATCCACAAGACAGTAGAGCATCGTAAGGAGATGCAGTCCCATGGTAGCCGGTGACCAACGATTGGTTCATATGCCATTATGTCCCTCAGGATACTGGAGCCCATGTGCACTATTGGTTTGGAATGAGGGTTTTCCAACTCCTCTAGGTGAACTTTCCATGTCCACTAACCCGGTTACAGCGCCGGACATTCGCTTTTCGTCCTCTCAATTTCGTAAACAACACCCGCGCAACGAGAAGGCAGTGAGTAGGACTTCCGCGGCAGAGGCTATATACGCGTGGCCATGTGAGAGCATTTGGAGAGGGAGAGCGGCTTCTCCTCACTCTCGACCGTACTAGGGCGTTTGGAGGCAAGACCACCATGGAAAACCTGGAAGCACTGGACGGCCGTTTCGTCCTATTGTGGGACTCCCCAGGATTGCACATCCACGACCCCGCCCCGTGGGACTCGAACCCAGGACCTATGTCTCGCGCCAGGCGCTTAAACAACTAGATTACTGAGTCTTACAGTTGAACGTTAGGGTTAGGAGTCAGATCAATGTTTTCATCACAAACTGACATCAGCTATTAAGCTGAAATGGTATTTGGCCAAATGAGTGAATGGATTTCGCGCCAAAATCTAAGACCTGCTATCTTAAATTTGACCGGTTCGTCTATAAATTATAGTCTCGCCAAGCTTACCCTAAAAGAACGAACTTTTAAACCAAAAGTTCGAACACACTTCCAGGGATAAAGTTTTTGAAGCACAGTGTATACAGTTGACAAACTAGAATTTCCAGGGATTAAGCATGACATTAAAAGAAACATGACTGAAATTCAACAAATAGTAACCGGATTAAATGTGTTTACGCCAAAACAATTTATAAAGCAAAAGAATGTAGCACTTAGAATACTGATACTTCATATGCTAAGGGATTCTAAACGTACCAATATCTACGCTACTACCTAAGCATTTCTCAGCATAACTGGGACAGCTATGCTTGTGGTCCCCTCATTGGCTAGATAAACCATCAGTAAGGTAAGCCTGCAACAAATGGAAAACCAATTTTATGTCTCCAAGGTAGGTTGAGGGCGTCGTCGGCGAATCCCAAGAAAAGCATGCAGCATATGGACAATAAGCCAGCAAGAAATTGAATGAACTATGAGTGAATATGGACAATCATGATAATTTTGTCATACCTGGCTTTTAAAGATAATTTCCTGTTCCCCGCTGATTTTGTTTGTCGGGCACACCTGTCACAGGTAGGGTTAGTCAAAAAATGTTTTTACTTCTAGTGATTGCACATCAGCTTTGCCAACGAGGTATCTCCAAAAGGGAACAGGAATGAACAGAAACATGATGGATAGAAAAACAACACCACATATTACACCCTGGGCTTCAGGTCTTAGAGAAAACTGAAAATAATTCAAAAACAACATACATTGTTGGTTTAGACGGTTTATTCATGTCGACACCAGCGAACCCAGCACGAAGAAACTCCCCTTTATACTTTTTGAAAAGCTTCAGCACGTACTTTGCACCAAATATAGACATACAGACGAGAACGAGGAGCTCGAAAAAATGACGATAGGTACTTAACAAGTGCCCTTCGTTTGTAGATGCACATGTAGACTCCATAACGGTGTACCAACACCGAACACTCGTGTGATTATGACGAAATCGACCTTCAGACTTAATTATCCCGCGTCATATAAACAGAACTGATAATGGTAGTTTTAAATATCTATGAACGCTCAAATAGTCCAAATGGTTCAAATGGTTGTGGACGGAATAGAAGAAGCTTTCGCTTAACAGGCTTCCGTGTCTAGTAGCAGGGGATCACCAAATCCTCCAGGCAGGAACCTAGGTATGTTAACAATAAAAGAGGAAAAGAGATTGGTAAATCATAATGTGATGCTGTTCTTGGTCCTTAAGAATAGGTCAAGTTGCCTCTTGAAGGACTCCTGAGAAGTCGCTTGGACTAGCTCGGCTGGCAGCGAATTCCAGCTTTTGACAACTCTTAAGGAGTAGAAGTTGTGTCTACATTCCGTCTTGCTATGTTGTGTTTCCAGTTTCTGGGTGTTACCCCTTAGGTTGTTATTCGAACTAAGCTTAAGTAGGTGTTTAAGAGGATGTCCAGAAGTGTTAAGAATACTATAAGCCATTAATAAATCACCTCTAAGACGCCTATATTCTAATGGGTAAAGGTCTAGTGAACGGAGGCGTTCTTCGTAAGGCTTAGATTTGAGTCCTCGAACTGATTTCGTGGCTCGCCGTTGGATACGCTCCAAAGTGACCTTGTCCTTTTGGAGTGAGGGGGGAGTACTATGTTTCCGTACTCTAAATGGGGACGGATGAAACTATTGAAGATTGTGTGGAAAGTTCTTCCGTCAAACTGGCCAAAAATGCGCCTCAACGTTACCAGTGCAAGGTTTGCTCGGAAGGCATTTTTGTCACAGTTAGCGTAAGACTTTAAATCATGGGGCACCAGGACTCCTAAATCTTTTTCGACTTGGGATACTACTAGAGAGGAGTTTCCTAAGTTGTAACTGTAGTTTGCAACATGTCGCAGATGGACTACTTTACACTTTGAAGTGTTAAAGGTAAGTCCGTTATCGTCTGCCCAACTTTGAAGTCGAGTCAGATCCTCCTGAAGTGCCTGTGTATCGTCTTGGTTGCGTATCTCTCTCCAAAGTTTCACGTCGTCGGCAAAAAGTAATAAATCTGACGTTACCTGTTGAGGAAGATCATTTATGTAGATCAAGAAGAGAAGAGGCCCTAGTACTGAGCCCTGGGGGACCCCACTAGGACATTCCATAGCCTGAGATAAAGTGAAATTAACCCTAACCTTAAAGTGTCGATTTTTTAGGTATGAAGTAAGCCAATCGATTAGGGGTGGTTTGATACCTAGTCGTTTGAGCTTGTTGATAAGACACAAGTGGTTAACCTTATCAAAAGCTTTTGAGAAATCAAGGTAAATGACATCAACCTTTCCCTTGCAATCGAGGATGCTTGTCCATCTGTCCACCGCAGTCAGCAGGTTGGTTATACAAGAGTAACCCTTCCTGAAACCATGCTGTTGGGGTGAGAAGAAATTTAAGGACAGTAGATAGTCATTTAAACCGTCGCATATCAGGGACTCCATGAGTTTTGAAGGTAATGACAGAAGAGCCACCGGCCGATAACTTGAAGGTTCATTGCGTCGACCACCTTTGAAAATTGGTGTGATGTGAGCCAACTTCCAATTTTCCGGTAATTTGCCTCGGCTAAGCGAGTGAGAAAACATCACGCTAAGCGGCGTTGCCAGGATTGAGGCTGCCTCCCTCAGTATGGCAGGATGAACCATATCCGGGCCAGGAGAAGTGTCAAGTCTTAAGTGCTGCAATTTCCGGAACACCAAGTCAGCGCTTAGGTCCACTTCAGAAAGTCCTGTGGAATTGCAGATGAAACTGTCGTCAGTAAAGTTGATGTCAGCCGGTTGAAATGTTTGAGAGTAATGTGCCGCCAGAAGGTTAGCGGCGTCGCCATCGTTGTTGGTCGGGCCGTTAAGACCTAGCAGTTGAGAAACTCCTGTTTTGGCTTGACGAAGAGAGGCTGCATAACGGAATAGGCTTCTAGGGTTAGAGGCGAATTTGTCCATAAGCTTTGTTTGGTACTGAAGCCTGTCTTCTCTTATAGCCTTCGTGCATATGTTCCTGATATGTTTATATTGCCTATACGCTCCATCGTTATTAGTTCGTTTGTATTCCGCCCAACAGTGCCTTTTGCGGCTTAGCAGGCGAAGGGTACGGTTCTTGATTACTGTAGGTGGCTTGCAGCTTTTGGGAACCGTTTGAGGAACTGAATGGTCTGTAGCACATAAGAGCGTGTGCAGTAAGAAGTCCCAATGACCATCCACATCGAGTTGAGGGTGAACATCCCAAGCCACCTGTTGTAGATAGTCATGTAGAGCTGGGACATTCAGCCGTTTAAAATTCCAACGCAAATTATTGTTGGGATACCTTAGCTTAGTTTTGATGACAAAACTGAAGGCTATGACGGCATGATCGCTCTTTCCCAGAGGAGCCAGGATTGAGAGGTTGTCGACTAGGAATTCTTCGTTAGTGAATACACAGTCTAAGCGCGATGGTGTCTGACTGTTTCTCCAACGAGTTGCCGACCTCACATTTTCATATAAGCCCAAGTCATCGATGAGGTTGTAGAACCGAGCTTCAATTGAGTTGTCGCCTCCAGTGTACGTGTGTTCCGCGAAGTTGACTCTAGGGAGATTAAAGTCCCCTAGAATCAGGATGTGTGTGAAACCGAGACGGATAGAGCGGGATAGTCCTTCCAGCATACGACTATCGTACTCGATGTCGGCAGTTGGCTTTCTGTAAATGACTCCGACTAGACACCTCGAAGTACTAGACAATCTTACAGAGCACCATATGGATTCCTCAAGATTGTTAAACTCGAGGTTGTGAACTTGGTGCACCTCCAAGCAAGAGCTTATGTATATGGCTACTCCGCCCCCAATTCCTGTTTTTCTGTCGTTGCGGAACAAAGTCATCCCAGGTAATGCTAACTCTTGGTCCGAGAACTGAGAAGATATCCAGGTTTCAGATATTCCTATCAGATGGGCCTTATTAGCGTTGCTAAGTTCACGTAGTTCATCCAGTTTGTTTGGTAGACTCGCGGCGTTCATATATAAGCAGTTTATGCTTTCAATTTGGAACGCGTGAGCTTCGTCCTGTTTTTCTGTATGAACCTTATGTGAATGGACAGGTAGCCCACCTATATGAGGTTTGCCGAGGTGGTAGGCCCTGTCCTTTACACGTTTTTTTATCGTTTAGACAGTCCACAAGTGGAATGGTCAGCTCCAACTTGCCTTTGTTCTTGGTCCTAGCTTCGTATGGCCTATCCGGGTGCATGTGGATTCCAGGTGGCAATCGACGTCTATTAGCACGAAATGCTTCCAGAACTGCAGCCGCCATGTGGGAAGATGGGAAGGTTATCTTCATTAGACGGGGTCTGGGGTCACCGTCCTTCTTGGCTAGTCTCGTCACATGCTGAGTCAGTATGTGTTTGAGCCTCAAGGACTGTTTGATGAATTTCCATTCCCTGATGTCAGAATGTGATTGAGTAGGGTCTGCATTTTCCGGTATACCTTGAACAATTATGTTTCTTCCGCGGAAAAACTTCTCGCGAGATTCTTTAGGGATGTTTCGTATGATATTGCGCTCAGAGTACGGTATGTCGGGCAATATTCTTACGTTACCATCTGATTTCAGCAAGTGACTTGCTAGCAAGACGTCCTCTACGTCGGTAGCATTCTTAAATGTTACTCGGAGAAGCCTCGGGTGATTTAGATGCTTAGAATCCTTTCCTCGAGTGAGCCGGGTGACCGTCAAAGGCTCTATTCTAGGAAGTTCAAGCTTCTTGTTCAATTCACCCCAGAGCATCCTGTCGTTTTTGTCCTGCAGACTGAGAGGAAGGTCAGGATTGTCAACGAGGTTCATGATAATGAGAGAATCGTCACGAACTGTTGTTAATTTACCAGGTTTCACGATGGGTTCAGGTTTAATAACTTGTTGTTTGGAGGTCAGTGTGCGTTTTTGAATCTTGGGCTCTTTATTGACCGGACGGACAGTCTTGGGGGTAGACTGTGCGACCAAATCACCAGTTATTTTCCGTGCAGCAACACTTGGGTTGCTCGGCTTAGGCGGTGATGCCTGGTTCTTTTGGGCTCTCTTAACGTGGGTCGAATCACCTACAGGGTTTTTGGGAACCACTGTTGTGTCCAGGGACCCTGAGCTGGGAGACCCGAGTTTGCTTAGGGAGTCTAGTACTGTCGACGTAATGATGGTGCTGAGCCTCAACACGTCGTCATTAGTGTTGATGGATGCTCCATCGATGGTATGCCTGTCGACATCCCTATTTTTGAGTCCGTCACACGCTCTTGTTTGTCGACCGGATTTTTTACTAGTGTTATCCAAGTTAACTGACAACTTGTTCCGAAGACCTGTCAGTAGGACAATGATGTTACTCAGCAAGACAACTGCGTCCGTGCTGCACGTGACACATACCCACTTTTGGTCTGACTTGCTGAGTTTGTTGTAAGCAGTTGCTGTCAGATCTGTGCATGCTTCGTGGAACCAACCTTTGCAGTTGTCGCACTGCATGCCAGTTGTGACAGCAAAACGGCATCCCGGACGTTTGCATGAGTTTTTCATGACTGTGTTGAAGCAAACTATGTTATAGATGCTTGCAAGAGCCTAAGCCTTTTAAAAAAACACTAAAAAGCACACTGAAAACAGACAAAAATGGACAAAACGAGTGATATAAACTGAAACTAGTCTATACGTGAAAAACAAAAAAAACCGAATAGTAAGCTGAGGCAAAACCACAGGTAACTATTTAATATAGTGAAACTCAAAAAAAAGTAATCTACCGAACGTATAGCTCAGGATAGATTCTTTAGAACTGAAATGGTACTTTTGTTGCGTAAGAACACAGCAAAAGTTTGATAAATGCAAATCACGTTAGGACTAAACTTCCCGTTCGAAAATCGACCT